GTTCGACTGTATGTAGTGATAATGCATTGTTTAGGCGGGTGCTCAAGTTGAAGAGTTAGCGGAAGAACACAAATCGCTTATTTGGTATCTTGTCAAGCAAGTTAGACCAGGAATGGACTTAAGTAAAGTTGTCTTACCCACTTTTATCCTCGAACCACGTTCGTTTCTTGATAAGTTAACAGATTCATACTACCATGTTGATATACTATCGGGGTAATAATTATTACAATAAGTGATAACAATTAATTAAAATTTATAGAGCGGTTCTTGAAGATGATGCTTTTACTCGTATGAAAATGGTAGTAAAATGGTACCTTTCCGGTTTATATAAAAAACCAAAAGGTTTAAAAAAGCCGTATAATCCCATCCTTGGTGAGACGTTTCGTTGCTACTGGTTACACCCTAATGGTTCAAAAACTTTCTACTTAGCTGAACAAGTGTCACATCATCCTCCTGTAAGAAATTTAAACGATTCAAACAAGTTTATTAAATAAGCCCGAAACAGGTTTCTGCATTTTATGTCACTAATAGACAAGATGGTTTCTCAATAAGTGCAAGTATTTTGGCACGGTCGAAATTCTACGGAAATTCAACATCAGCCATATTGGATGGTACAGCAATTTTGACGTTGCTACCAAGAGGCGAAGACTATACACTTACCGTCCCGTATGCCCATTGCAAGGGTATTCTCATGGGTACACTTACAATGGAATTGGGCGGAAAAGTATCAATTGACTGTGAAAAGACTGGATATTTTACCGAAATCGAATTTAAACTCAAAGTAATAAGTTTGAATTTTTTTGATTAGGTGATAAAATAAGTGACTTGTAGCCATTTCTGGGTGGAGTTGAACAAACGAATTGTATTTCTGGTCGTTTAAAACTAGGGAAAGAGACGTTGGCGACCATTGATGGGTATTGGGATGGTACGATTTATATCAAAGATAAGAGAACAGGTGAACAACAAGTATTTTGGAATTCCACACCACAAATTCGGAGACAAAGATTAATAAGGTATACAGTCCCTGTGGACCATCAGGAGGAATATGAATCTGAAAGATTATGGCAACACGTATCTGCGGCCATTTTAAGAGATGACATGAATGCGGCAACTGAGGAAAAAACCCTTCTCGAGGAAGCCCAAAGGGGTACTTAGTTAATAACTTAAGGTTAACTAGCTTAACTTGTTGTTATAGCGCGTTCAAAGGAGCGGAAAGCGAAATGCGAAGAGTGGCTCCCTGTGCATTTCCAACAAGACTTAAAAAGTGGACAATGGGTTTACAAGCATTCAGATTTACGACCGTGGGACCCCCGAAATGATTTATATCAGTATGAGTATAACTACGTCATACAAACAAGGACAAAACACCCAACACCAATGATACGCACTGCCAGTATAATTAGTGTGGACCCACCACAGGTGCCCCATTCAATTTTTGTGTGTAAATATTGTAGTTTTTATTTAGGGCGATACACGATCTTCTACTTTAAAAGTGACGAAACGGAAAATGGCGCCAAAGCAAGTCTCGTCTGACGCCGATGTTAATGATAGTGCCACAACATCGGAAGAATTTCATTCCGATTCGACCCAGTCTGTGAAAAAAATGCCATTAGCTGCGACAAATTCTAGGTGGGTCTGTATAAAATACTTCGGTTTGTTTGAAACGTTTTTTTCAGTATTATGTTGGCGATCCATGACCTTGAACAAAGTCTCCAAGAACATGGTGAAAAAATAAGTCAGTTGCAGCGGAATGTAAACCGTGTTTTGGAATCTAACATGAAGTCTCGTTTTAGTCCTAGTTTCATTGAAATTATGATAATTGTGTGTTTGCTGGGCTTTTTTCAAGCTGTCTTTGTGTACTTCTTTTAGATGCAGTTTTATTGTGCAATTTATATTGTGATATAAAGTCTCGTCACTGAGCCAATGTTTGCGGAGCAGTGTAATTTATTAGCACCAAAAATTTGTGTATTTTTATTACAAACTGTGCCTTTTAACGGGCTCTTTGATTACACAATTGTTCCTGGATCGAAGCCCTTGTCAGGTTCATTTTAAATTTATTCACATTGTTATTTTGCTCGTTTAGATTAGGAACAGTGTTATGTGATATTGAAAGTCTAACTTTCGGCGAGATTTTTCAAGGTTAATGAGGGTACTCATACTTAATTGCTCGACTAGGGGCGGGGGTAGTAAACGTACACACGCGCTAAATATTTCGGTCACAGTTTTTTTTTTAATATAAAATGGTACAAAATGATTTGTAGCGAACAATTCGGATTATAGCAACTAGAATTTTTTTACATACATAGCAATTGCATGTTAGTCCTTTGTTTGATGAACACTTACAGCTTAATAAAAAAAATATTATCTGAAACGACTTTTATTTAAATACAAAGCATTAAACATTTGGAACATTTATCTAAATTGGTGAACACTAATCCTAAGTCCAATACTATCTTTCCCAATCTCAGCCACTGTACAAACATTACAGATAGCACCCTTGTACTTCGGAAGATACGAAGTGCCACAAAATGAACATTTCTCCTCGGCTTTGCCTCGATAAATCGGAGTATACGAATAACCGCATAAATTAAATGGATTATGTTCATCGTAATGCAATTGCAACTCATCCGTCAAATTTGAATCACAAACCTGCAAAATTTTTCTCGCTTGTGACGCCACTTCCGGTTTCGGACCCAACTCAAGCAATCTTCTCGCGAAAGAAGCCGCAGTTTTGTAATTTTTCAATTTAACAAACATATTAAGCGCAGTCCGAAGTGTTAGAATTTGGTGGACACGTTGCAAGTTGCAATGAGTAAAATAAGCGGCCATTTCGCATTGACGCTTCTGTTCCTCTATTGAGTTTTTCGGCAAGCTTTTGCGAAGCGTCTCCATTTGCAAACCACAAATGTATTCCCGACAAAGACGGAATAGTTGTTCAGCTTCGGACACCTCTTGTTTCGTGTCAACAATCAAAAGCGCAATTAACAAAATCAAATTTCGGAATTTTTCAATCGCTTCGCTAAACTTGGCCCCAGTAGTGAGTTGGTAACAATCCTGCAAGATAATAATAATAATATAAATGCGCAAGTTTCGGTAAATTAGATACCTGTAATTTCTGGACCAAATCGTTCAATTTGACTCCTGCAACCGGAAGCCCCCCTTTCGGGCCTGCATCCTTCCAATTACGCAAAGGATAAGTGAAGTTTGATGGCAAATTTGGTTGCCACGTTGTGCTAGTTCTAGATCCGCTATACAACGATAAGAAAATATTTTCAAACGGTTCAAAATGAACAATTCCAAGTTGGTCATGTAACAATCTACAAGCCGATTCAAATGACCCAGCCATGACATGATCGACGGCAAATTGTGAATTTTTCGTCCATGCTAAAGTCGGACTAGGCCCTTGAGATGGCAAATGAATAAAACTTTCACTCGATTGTTGCGTTTGTGACGTTCCCAAATCAGGTATTTCCAAATCAGCGTCTTCAACATCCCAACCACCTTCACCATCTCCTGGGACTGCATCGTCCGATTTGCGTTCGGTGTCAACATCAATCTCCTCATCGTCGTCACCCCAACCACCAACTTCCTCATCCAAAGCTTCAGTTGTTGGTTCAACCATCAAACTCTTCATATTTGACGCAGCTTGAACCATTGCGTTAGTCTCAAAGAAACTGCGACTGACTGTCAATAACGGCCAATTGCTCTCAGCTTGTTGAATTGGCGGTGGAGGGATAAAGAATTTTGCGTTGGGGTCAACATCGGGCACTTTTTTCTCATTCCCAATCAAACCTTTCAATTCTTCAGCTTCCTCCTCGTACCCGTGAGTTGCAGCTGTTAAATAAGCTAAAGATGTCAAGTTTGATTGCTTCAAAACTCTTATTCTTTCTTCAACATCACCAAGTAATAAAGCACCATGATATTGCGATGAGCGTGCTTTGCGAATCTCAGCAATTTTTGTCATTTTACGCAACTTTTCCAAATTGCCGGTGATTAAATACAAGAATGACAATTTCTCGAAACTTTTAGTTCGCTGATAACACATTTCGACCACTTGGTGGTTGCCGTGCCACAAAGCGGTTTGGGCCAATTGTTCCCAACAAAGTTTATCATTTAGGGCTTTAGCTGCGTCCAATGCAATCTCAATATTGCCACATTCTAGTGCCAAAGTGAAACGAGTCTTGTCATCTTTGACAAAATGCAAAGCCACCTCAGGGTAACCCTTTTGTTGCAAATATGAAATTATTGCTTGACCCACTAGACGCGAATTTTTAACCATGAATAAGACTTCATCGTAGCGGTGGTGAATCAAAGATAATTTAAATTTGTATTCTGTAGGATCGATTGTTAGAACACGAGGCTTGCATTCACGGTCTAAACAAAAGACATGCTTTCCTTTAACTCGAGTGATGTAAATTGGCAAGTCGAGAGTACGAATAATCCCATGGTCGCTAAAAAAAATAACAAATTATCTTTACGTAATACAGGGTGTCCCAGCGAGTTGGAAAAGTCCATTAATGATCTTGATGTGGTAAAATTAAAAAAAACAAGGACATTGATAGATACTAATCTAGTCCATTGCCTAAAATTATTTTCAACTATACAGCGCGTTTCAAACAAACTTGTGTTTTTTAAATGAAATACCATGTTTTTTAATGATTTTTATGACAATGTTTTTTATTGGTTTAATAAATAAGACGTTTTTTTTTGATGAAAACATGCACTTTTTAAGACATCTAGAAATATTTTTTTTACTACTGCAAAGAAGAAGGTACAATCAGTGTAGAAAAGATTGTCCTCCTAATATCTTTCCCACTGTAAACGTCATTTCTTATTTAACAGTATATTTAGTGAAACTCAGTTACCGATTTTACTTTCAATTGAGTAAATAACAAATTATTTTGAAAAATTTACAACTTTATACTGCATTTAAAAATTAAATTACAAAATAATAATAAATAATCAATGTTTGTTATTTATATACAAAGGTAGCAAGTAAATGGCATAATTAAATAAACAATATTATTATTAGTAATACCTAATTAAAACCATTTATTATTAGGAATTAAAATGACCAAATCTAACCAGGCACAATGTAACATAACTCTTTAATTTATTGTTAGCTTAATTATTTTTATATGAAAACAAGTATTGCAATTGACAAATTAAATAATTTCATTTCATTTTTATTCAGTCCAAACAAACTTTGACAACAAATACATCGATTTTACTATAGTAAAGAGAAGATAAAATATTTAAAAAAAAATTAGTTTTATTCTCACCTAAGAATGACCACTTTGTGGTTGAAACGCGTTGTGTTTTAAATAAAAGTTTGGTGTGACGGGCTAATCGTATTTGTGTTCATCGTTTCCATACCAAGAAGATCCAAGAAGAAAAAAAATTAAAAAAATTGTAAACTATTTATTATGTAGTAAGGTATTTTTTTCTTACTACAACAGTGTTTGTTTTATTCGTATTCAAAATTAATTTGCAAAATATTATTGTATTAAAGTTAGAAGTAATTTTTTTGTAATAATTTGTTTATTAATAAGGTAGACAGTTTTCCAATGGCTATGATTTTTTTTAATTCACAAAAATAAAAGTTGATTAATTTAGTTTTAATAATATAACTGAACTGAACAATTATTAGCAAAAACAAATTCGTAAATTTGTTACAATTGCTTTGCGATTGCAATACCTTGGTTGCAAAAAATCTCAATAGTTCAATTTAAATATTCCTTTTTTGTAAAGGTTGCTACGAGTTCAAATGAGTTAGCACGTCAACCTGTTTGAATTGAATAAAAATTAATAATGAAATTATTTTGTCATTTACAAATTTATCAAAAAAATTAAGTATCAATATTTTAAAGAGTTATATTAAATAGTCACTAGATTTGGTCATTTTATTTCATAGTAACAAATAGTTTTTATTAATTTAATTTTACCATTTAAAATGGCATTTACTTGTTATCTTAGTAAATAAATAACTAATTAAATATCTTTTCTTTTATCAATTCTAGACATTAAAAGTTTATTTTTTTAGATAGACAATTTATCAATCTATTAGATGCAAAAATAAAAAATACGTGTTCCATTCAATTTTTTTACGTTACTTAACTTTTAACAAACTTCTTAATTTGTTAATGTTTACAAATGCAAAACACTAAAAAATTGCTACGGCTTTAAATTCTGTACTTTCTTCTTTGCAAAAGTAAGAAAAAAATTGTTCTAGCTGTCTTAGTTTTTGTGTATTGTTGTAAAAGGCTACATCCAAAAATGCAAAGAAACATACGGTGTTTCATTTAAAAAACACAAGTTTGTATCGTAACTTATTTTTGGGACATGCTGTTAAAAATAATTTTAGGTGACCTATACATTTTTTTTATTTTACCATTTAAAGGTCACTAAGGGACTTTTTCAACTCGCTGGGACACCCTGTATAAAAAAYTGTAATTACCCATGAATCAAAGTGTATTTGATATGATTGCTAGTGGTATAAATAAAAACACCGGAATCATCCCAAGCCCCTGATTTGACTCTTGTATTTTCATGCAAAGAGCACAAAACTTCCAATTTTCGGTTACAAATAGTAACTGTATGTTTAGCCAACAATGCGATAAAATTCATATCGTGAGACCAAACAACATAGCGACATTTATTTATTTTGACTAGAAATAATTACGTTAAATTGATCTACTACAAAATTGACTATACCTTGTTCCAGGGTACGTTTCCGCTGAACGTCAAACATAGTCAAATGCTCTGGATCCCTCAATAGTAGCATTCCAGTTCCGGCATAGAAAATTTCATCACAAGGTGGCGTTTGCACCTTTTTGTGTACCTCATTTTTCAAATTTTTAATAACGAGTTGATGTGACCGGTCCAAAACCGCAAATCGATTTCGAGCGACCCAAATTGCTGTCAATCCTGATGATCGTTTACTTTCAGCTTCGGGGACTTGATCATCACGATCGGATTCTTTTGCGATCGTATACAAATCATAAGTGCTATTATCCAAATTCGAAGATCGGATTGATAACAAAACGGCATTTTCGGCCGGATTGAACGACATTCTATAAACGGGAGTTTTGCCCCCACCTCTAATCTGAAGAACAGGGACGTCTTTGGACGTGGTGAAATCAAGTTTGCGCAAATGACGATCTTTGACATAGTAGAGGAAGTTTCTATGTACGGTGTATGCCGGCCTTTCACGCTCTAGTTTGAAAATAATCATGCCTGTATCATGCCCCGCCGCAAATAAATTC